AGTGCGATAATCCCGTCCAATTTGGTGTCGAGCCAACGTCACGCTGACTCTGCTGGGAGAGTAGTGTAGTGGCATTGGACCATAACCACACAACCCCAAAGCTGAACATGAGACTAATCGAAAAATAGATATTCAATATTTAACGCGGAGAAATACCTAACGATGGAGAAGGCGTGAACAAGGAATTGAATTAGTTGGAGTTGATCGAATGGCATGGCTCGGCCTTGCAGGCATGGTCACTGTTAAGTGTTGCAACGTAATCTTTTATTCATATTTAATATATTCTTCTATCTCCAGCCTAAGCTTGTTCTCCACCATGTATTGGTAATTGTTACAATGAAATGAGTTTGTGTAGACGATAATGTGACTTCCACGTAAGATCTTACAGATTAGGCAGTTATATCATGACAAATCTACAATTTTAGGATTAGGTCTATTATTAGAACAGTACTAATATCATAGTAGACCATAATTCTACATATTTATACCGAAATGAATCTAAAAATACACGCCATTAATGAAAACGGTAAATAGTGATGGACAAATCACACCTCCTGTTATAATCTGATTGGTTACATTCATAGGCTCAGATGAATAAGATCCAAAGCAGACAATTTGGCTACGTTCTACTAAAAAAGGATTTAAACCAGGATAAAAGAAGATTCCGCATAGCAAATGGAGAAAGTCCAAGAAGAAGAAAGTTGTGTGAGACACAGTCGGAGGCTTTACTAAAATCCAAGTACAGAATTATCACTGACTCAGACATAACTTCTCTGGGCAATTTAATCAAAACATTTCTTGTGCCATATTAAGCACGAGCGCCTAGTCATAATCCCGTGTTGAGGTCGGATAATCAGACTTGCCGGAAGTAAAAATGATAACAGTTGGTAAGGATAGCTTTTGCCATGGTTCGGGCTAGCACGTGTGTCAGGTTAAAGGGTTTATATTTAGCAGTATCACTACATGATCCTATTCTGAATCAAGGGGTGAGAAACAGTGTAATAATAATAATATATTTCTGCAATGGCGAGTACACGCCATTTTTACAGGCATGGTCTATAAATTACATTTATTATTTCACAGTATGCATGTTAAATAAATATAGTCTATAAAAGTGAAAATCAGTTCATTCTCTCAGATATACTGAGTAATCTTCAAAAAATTCTCCAAAGTGGCATCGCATCCACGTCGCATACGAGATCCAATCTCCACATTATTGTGTTAGGATTTTGGTCGTGCTCAGTATTTATGCGACGCAACTTTTTATGTTTATATTTGTTAGAAAGTAGAATTGCGGAGCGCTTGGTATGAACTATGACCCTGCGAAAACACGTACATCTAGTTTGTTCCAGATGTCAGAAGTTCCATACCTGTGCCCTCAGAGCAAGATTCCGAAAAAAAGAGAAACCGAGGAGCAGCGAAGCACTTGGATATGAACGATAAACAATATTCAACATTTTGTAGTGGAACAGACAGAGATATGATATAAGATATAAGATTAAATTCATATTAGCGCTTGTAGCTAGGGTGAAATGTGATCAAAGGCTCCAAATGAGAGAATACAGTAATAAAATACAATGAGTAGTGATATTTACCAAGGTGAAGTAAGTTCATTCAGATAGACAGACCCTAAACTTCATAGGTAGGTTGAACAATTTTAAACAAATAGTGGGAATTCTCTACCACCGTGTTTCACAAATGATGAAGGAATTCCATCAAATCTACTGTAATAGGGGCAGTTATGTCCATCTTGATGTTAATGGACATGAAATCAATTTTGGATGGATGTCTAGATGTCAACATTGAAAACGTATTGATAGAGACTTTGGACTCAGTGTTGTGGTATCTCAAGAGATGCCGGATGCATTGCTCATAAAAGGTATCAGGGTCGTCAACAATGCTCCCATTAACTACGACGAATCTGGTTGTATTGAGAGAATCTGATTTCACGCGAGATTTGAAAAGCCAAACTATTGAGATCTTTGAGTTTTTATTATGTAAGGCTTTATTTTTTATAGTCGTAACATACTTGCGTTGAGGCGAATCATTTACGTCAAACAGGTATGCTCTGAAGCGCGTATACGTCATAATGCATGAGATAGCAGTTTTTCAGTTTTCTCTTAAAAATCCTCAAAGTGTTTTAGTCCCTATAAGCATTGCAAATTACATGGTTGATTGCAAATAATAAATGAAGTAAATAATTCCTTCTAGTTATTATTATTATTATTAATGGCTTTATTCAATATTATATTTTGGTACAATATAGAATTCTCAGCACAGGGTATTTCAACAAGTTACTTACTGAAAAACGAACAAAAAGGCAGTAGCAAATGCAAAAAGAAATAAAAAAAGGTTTTTTTTAAAAAAATAAATGAATAAAAAAATTGTGCAAACTTTTTAAAATTAAAGACATGTTAAGAATGTAAGTTATTGACTAGGTTAACTCTAACGACCTGTTCGTCACAGAGTATATTTGCTGGGTAAGGTATTATAGAACTTTTATACTCTTCCTTACGTGCATGGATTTTAATGTAATTACGTCTCGTTCTACCAGAAGATATACAAGGATGAAGATAAGAGTGAAGGGGATGGCTAGTATCTGATAAAATAACACCTGCCAGGAGTTTGCATGATTTTAAATGTCTATCCACAACCATATTAATTATGGCCTCGAAAGATTCACCACACATCTTGCTAACTGCCTTCAGCACTCTTCGCAATACAGCAAAGTCTTTTCCCAAAAGCCCGGGAAAGAATAATGGATAACAGTAAAGAATAATAGGTAAAATGCAAGAATTGACAAATTGTAAGAGTAAATGACGAGTAATCCCATGAGAATTCAATCTCTTTATGTAGTAGGTCAGACGGAAAACCTTCTTCGATAACGATAAAACGTAGGAAGACCAAGACAGATCAGAAGAAAAGGTGACACCAAGATAATTGACCTTCGACACTGAGTTTATCAAAGACTCCGATGACATGCCTCATGTAGCAAACTGTTATTTGAGAATAAATTATTATTATTATTATTATTATTATTATTATTATTATTATATCACCCGGACTTTATTTCGGAACCACTCACGGTGCTATTTAGCATGCCACACCTCTAAACTCAGCACCCTAGGGATTGAAAAAAGCCACTGTCAGCCCCATTTTTAGGTATAGGAAGATACAGATCGTGGCTCACTACTGAACTATCAGTCAAATTAGCATAGTAATTAAGGTATTTGAGAAAGAAATTAAGTCTAAGTTACTGGGTGATCTTGAATTACACAATCCGTTAACACCAGACCAATTGTGTTTTGAAATACGCGTCGATGCTTATCTAACTGTGAGAAAGTATTAAACAATAGTCTAAGATGTCCATATGATAATCACGTATTTTAGCAAGACGTTTCATAAGGTGTATCACTTAAGGCATATGCAGGAGTTCTGGAGCTTTGGAGTAACAGGTGTCATACAACAGTGGATAAGAAAGTTCTCCTTCGGTCGGAGCTAAAATGTGAAGGTAAATAGGATACTACCTGTATGGGAACCGGTTAAAAGTGATGTACTCCAAAGCACCCTCTTACGTCATCTATTTCGTTTCTTTTCTACGTCAATGAATTACTAAGACTGATTGTTGGTTGTAAATAGATATCAGAACCTGGAAACCACAAACAGTAACGCTGATCATCATGATTACCATGTTGGTCTGAACGCGTCGGTTAGGTAGTCTCGATGTTGGGATTTGGAAATAAATCCCATAAATTGTGCTAGTGCACTATGGACAAGGTGCTGATTACCAGTATGTTGTTAAGGGTACATCGCTCCCAAGGGTGCTGGAATAAAAATACTTCGGAGTAATTGTAAGTCATGACTTCAAAGCAACAGCACATTGCAATGGAGCAGCTGCCAATGGATTTAGAGTGTCATGGTGACTTCGTCGAGCACTCAAGTGTTTTGACGAAGTTGTTTCAGGTTTTATAACCCACCTATGTGAGACCTAACTTAAAGTGTTTCATTCAAACAGGCAGCCTTCGTCTTGTTAGGAATGAATTTCCAACGTGTGGGGGTAAGGTTAGTGACCTGTCTTTTCGAGCTCTCATGGGCGCTTAGAAAGCTTAAACTTTTCGCCTTATCTCAGAACTCGAAGTGATCTTGTATTGGCATTCCGTATCTTAAATAATAACTCGGATGTAAGCATGTCACATATTTTCGTTGCCATCAGAACTAATCATCTTCTAGGCCATCACAAGAAGATTCAAAAACCGCGACCAAAACAACTCAGAGTGGGATTCTGTTTTTCTCATTAAGTGGTTAGTGATCGAGATGCTCCATCCGAACAAGTAGTATCGATTCCATCAATGAAAACTTTATGGAAGAAGCTGCATCTCAAGTAGTGCAAAGCAAGCTGCAAGAATTAGCACAGATCAAATGGCCTACTATCTTGATTACTGAAGACTGAGGACTATCAGGAATTCGAGTGATTGCCGTTCCCATGGGAACTGCCTTCTTCGAAATATGACTATAGAGTGGTGTCGAGTCCCAGTTGACTATGAACATCACTACAAAGAAACACGTGCCAAATAAATCAGAAAGCGAAGGTTGAATGTAACCAGATTTATTCGTTGGCGATCTCGTGGTGTCGAATTAATACCGAGATTGTGCCAAGAAAAGGTACAAGCGGAATCGGCAGGAGAAAGTACGTGCGAACGGGGTCACGAACCTCGAAACAGTCATAGAGAACAATGGAACAGCAATATGGCTGTCTTTAGCACAGTTAAACAAACGAGCACAGTAAAACAGTCATCGGAACAATCGGTCATAATAATGATAATTGTTTTCCTTAAACCAGTCGTGTTCTCTTGATAAAAGTAGCTCACTACATGACAATCAGTCACCTCACAGAGGTAATCGAAAGAAGAGTAGGGAAAAGCAATAGTCTCTGTTGTTATTAAATATATCCTGTTTATCTGACCTTATAAACGAAAACTGAATTATCTGTTAGGTCGAATGAGCGAAAGTCGATTCCTCCGCTACATCCGCATGTTTTGTTACGGTCATGGTGGATGAGGTAATTTGCTGTAAATGAGTGGTTTTGGATGTTTGTGGACATCCTGGATGCTTTTATACATAAATAAACGGTTCCGCAAAGTTTTCGGATCTATACATTACTTGGCATCTAGCAATCTTAGGAGCGTCATACGTTTTAGAAGATTTCTATTAGAGATAATTGAAGCATGATTAAGTAACTTATTTTTGTTACAATAGCCGTTCTTCGAAGCTAAGAAAAGTCATTCTAAGCTGCCAGGCCACGACGAGACATGAAATGTCTTTGGTGTAGTATATTTCATTTAGTTCTGCTTTTTTGACTACAGTGTATAACTAAACTTCTAATATTCGTTAACTTATTTCAACAAGTAACTTATTACAACAGATGTACAGGTTTTCAACTTCTCCGGTAGAGGAACTGAGGGAAACGTAGTAGAAGGGAGGAGAGAAAATCCCCTGAAACTAGATTTATTCAGCACAACATATGACGTAATAATAGGATTTACCAGATCATCCTCAATAACGTTCCTAGCATTGATTTACTCATTGGAGAGAGCTGGACAAATACTTTTCTCCTGTCTTATGAGTTTTTTGTTAATCTCTGACTCAAATAAATTTTTTATCTCCTGAATGTCAAATGTAATAATCTGAATGTTTTTTCCAGATTCAGATGTGTGTAGTAAGGGCAGAAGGCTCATGGCCTATGTTATTTCTTTTCTAATAAGCTACTGTGAATGATTACTCTTCTTTTAAACGAGTCAATTGAAAATGCAGACACCACTTCTTCGGGTAACAGGTCCCAAGAATTGATGACTTGATGTGAAAACCTGTGTGCCACGGGTATTTTGTTCGTTCTTGGCTTTTCTACTCACTTGCTAATTCCTCTGGGATGTGCCGATCTATTGGGAAGGAAAACAGGATTTATTAGGTCCAAATCATTTATTAGTATTCTATACATAAAAATTAGATCAGGACAGAGTAAAATGGTCCAGCTTTGCAAGCCGCTTTTTGTATGATACACCCCGGAGTTCTGGAATTGCACAGGTAGCTGCCCTCAGTACTTTTTCTAGGATATCCGAGTCACCTTTTAAACAGGAACTTGCAGCCTGAATGCCAATAGTTAGATTGTGCTCTCTAGGTTTATTTTATTCATCCGTCTTTACCCATGTTTTTCCAGACGAAAAGCTTAATAATCCAAATCGTGTATTATTTCGATTTTTTAAAATCAAATATATTCTGAACAAAATGAGCGTATAGAAGGATAACTTTAACGTCCGGGTATGCAGTTTGTATACTTAAGTTGTGAGTCGCTCCTAAGAGCTGTAACATCGGAACCACACATTATGTAGATTACAAACATCCTCAGTTCAATTTCGGTTGGAAACGATTTCGAGGTTTCGTACGTGTACATTGTATTTATTATTAAGGAAAGTAACAAAATGATGACCACTCGATATTTGCACCACTTTTTGGTTTGATCGAAAAAATATTGCTTCTGCGTGTTACTCGTTTACTTCCATGTTATTGTTGGTATGGAGTATTTTATCAAAAGCCTGTGTAGTTCCTTCAACTCCTCACAAAGGACTGAGATATATCCAGTTTAAATAATGATCGGCCTTTATATGTTCTAATCTTATGATCGATTGAGTTGTACTGAGTTGTACTGAACAAGGTTTTAATGTACCACTTGATTGTCATATCGGATGACCACTTCATATTTGCTCAAGGGTGGCTGCTTGTCTCCTTGTAACTCGTTGGCGTCTGCCTTTAGTTCAATAAGAATACGTATATCTTCTACTTTTCAGGATTCCGATGATTATGAATCCTTACCCAGTACTAGTCCACTGCCACAACACATGTTTGCAGGTGCATGTGCAGGTATAATGGAACATATTGTCATGTATCCTGTCGACTGTGTTAAAGTAAGTTTTGTTAATTCAACTTTTAACTCTTTGTTTAAGACTCGAATGCAGTGTCTGAGGCCTGTTGGTTGTTCTAATTACCCAGGTTTACTAACTGGTCTGTATCGTCTAATCCTTCAGGAAGGAGTACCAGGGTCGCTAAAAGGTAGTGGTGCAGTGATATGGGGTGCTGGTCCGGCTCATGCTGCTTATTTTGGATGTTATGAAAAAATGAAGTCAACCTTAGCTACAGCTCCCATAGGATCGACCCATGTAAATCATATGATAGCTGGGACTTGTGCAACTTTACTGCACGATGCTATCATGACTCCTGCAGATGGTAAGTAAGCAAATACTATGTCGGAAGTATCTTTTTTCGTCTAGGGTTATCCATGTATCATACGAACTAAAGTAACCAACCACTAAACCTAATCATATCAAAAGATTTTCTAAAAAAAAACTCAGTCCAACAGTTAAAAACCGTACTAATTTTTCCCATAAAAAAGCATTTACTCCGTCTCGCCGTGTCTTGAAAGTGTGTCAAACAATGTCACACAAGGTACTTTATTAATATAATATGAAGATCAAAAGCACTTTATATTCCGTATTTTTACATCACCATTGTTATTCCTTTATTCTAATAACTAGCCACGAAATTACTCCATCTCTAAGAGACTAACTTTAAAGATATATTAAAAAGTAGTTCTTTCAATACTGTACTTCATGTGATATCACACAGTTAATAAGTATCTGTTATTATTTTTCACCATTTGGCAAATACAAATAAATTCACCTTGTTCAGAGTTGTCACATTAACATACTGCGACCAAGTAAAAAAATAGAGAACGACAAAATCAATGTGACAATCTCACAGCAAACAGTGGAGAACCAAGCAATAAAATAGCCTGACCTTGGATTTTTTAGGCATGTGATAACCAGTAGATTTAATTCTTACTGAAAGATTAGTTGTAGCTTAAAGTAAGCTGAGTTATTTGATATGTTGACAAAGGATCTATGAAGTTGGGACAGAAAGTTTAGTATATTTCCATACATTTCTCATCGTTAGTCAATATCTTCTTAGTATTGCTTGTTTAATGAATAATAATTGGAGTCATATCCTGGAATAAAAAACCTCTGATAGTTTAATACAATCACTTAGTTGAAGTCTCATTTTCATCGGATTATCAGTTGTTTGCTAAACGACCATAAATGTCGAGTCATGAAATTCGATTTACAGTTTATGTCTGCTAAACCAAACTCGTGATTATAGATCAGTTATCATTTTAATTCATTCTCATGTTGAATTATATGCATTGTTTTTGCAGAGTTAATCACTGATATCTTGTCAGTATTTTCTGAGAAATTATTTAACTTTCTTTAGTTCGATTCACTATATTGAAACCAACATAATTTTATAACAATAAATGTTTACTGGGTAGTTGATAAATTCTGTCTTCCTGCTTCTGTTCACTTTACAATTAACACAGCTGTGAAACAACGTCTGCAAATTTACAATAGTCCTTACCACAACACTTTTGATTGTCTCCGTCGAGTGTGTTTAACAGAAGGACTCGGCGTATTGTACAGAGCTTATTTTACACAGTTATCCATGAATATACCTTATCAGACAATTCATTTTGTTTGTTATGAACATGCTCAGAGTTTAATAAATCCAAATCGTCAGTATCTACCTTGGACTCACGTTGTATCCGGAGGTATAGCTGGTTGTTTTGCTGCTGCTTTCACAAATCCGTTAGATGTTTGTAAAACTTTACTGAATACACAGGTAAATTCATGAATATTTCTGTTTGGAAAGACGAAGTGTTTCTTACAGTATATTTTGAACTAGTATTGTTATATGCCACAAATTTTTACTGTAATCTACAGATGTTAAGGTACTTAACATTGTACGTTTATAAAATCTAAACCGAAATTTTCATTAACTGTGGGAAGCTCTAACAGATTGACCATTATTTCAAATAGGACATCATATTATTGTGTGGCAACAAAAATGAAAATTCCCCTATTTCATAAATTGACACCTGCCATAGAATCACCCACAACTTATTTCCATTTATCAATAGCTTCATTCCTACTTGAGAATTTTAAGTAGCATTCTGTTCTTCTACGATTGAATACATAGATCCCGGACTTTCGATCTAGTGATTTTCACAATCGATTTGGATTCTCGATATTCACCATTATCCAACAATTCATGATATTGTATTCAGTCGTCAAGTCCCATTCTCCAATTACATTATATGAATTTCTAAGGAATCTCTTGTTAGAATTTTATTATTCATTTCTCACTAGTACTTGATATTTTCACCCGATGTTACTTGCACTCGAGAAGTAAATTTTGGTTATGTTCATCCTCCTGGTGAATAAGAACAGTGGTTTAATAATCAAGTCATTTGATTTTTAAATAATATTTTCTTTGGTTTTGAACCTCTCTGTACTCATTCCAATTTGTATATCAGTAGTCTCCACACACATTGTTTAGCTCAAAGCTGAGTTAAAAACTAATCTGGGTTCATTGATATTTCAATATGAAATATATTCCATAAGTCTTATAATTCATTTCTATTTTCTGGTTTTGCTTTTTGCTTACAATCACTCATAGGATCGGTGTTTTCAAAAGAATATATGTCTTGGTCACTTCACACAGTCATCTAATCCTGAATTCCGAGGGTTGTTTGGCACAGCGATGTATGTATATCAAATGACTGGTTTAAGAGGATTCACTAGAGGTATAAGTGCTCGAATCCTAACAGCTGTTCCCGGCACTGCTTTATCCTGGTCAGTTTATGAATATTTTAAATGGCGGTTAAAAGCACGAACGAAAGTTTTAGGATCTGATTTCGGTGAGACTAGTGGTGGTAACAGTGTTCATAATATTGAAATTTTACCCATGGAAAAAATGTGTGTAACCGCCAGTTCCAAATGGATTCCTGATTCCACTGATTTGACATACACAGCAACAGTTAATACTACAAGTGGGAGATCAAGTTTACAAGAGAACACTAGATAAGTCTAACTATTACTATTGCTATGAAGTAGTAGTGCTACATATGAAATGTTTAAAATGTTCCATGCTTTTTATCCATCTGCTTCCTGTGATGATGATGATCAAGTATCCACACAGTGGATCAGTTTGTTCACCACCGACAAAACTAGTTTGCAGCAATAATTGTTTAGGTTACATAAATTTCCCCGCTTACCATACACAAAACTTTGTATAAAAAGATGATTATTCATTACATCATCTTTCTTGTATAATTAAACATTGCTTTTATCTTTTCTTTCCTCTATCTTCTCGTTCAGACTAATTTTAACCATGTGTACAAATTACATTTACTTTTAGTCATTTCCTGTCTATTGGTTTGTTTGTTTACCCTCCCCCCGAGGTGGGCGGTTCAGAGAAATATCATTATGTTGATGTGATTATTATTACTAATTATAAATAGATATTTTGTTGATGTAGACATTTTAATCTTTTTCCGCGTTCATTCCATAACGTCTGACAATTATCCGATAGAATGTTAGGCAATCTAGTCAGTTTGTAGTTTTTCGTAAGCGTGCGTACTTGGAAATGTTGTCGAGCTATGTAAATAAATAGACTGTTGTGCATTGGTCATTTATTTCCACATTTTATGAAATTCTCAATGACAAGACTACGAGTTATTTTCATGTCTTTGCTACTCTAACCAAAATACCGAATGTATGTAAATGAGATCAGAATATGTTATAAATATATACGAGAAAATTATCATTTGATTTGCCTTGTTTTACTGAGTCTGTGTCTTACCACACGATTACTCACCCAGTTGTTCTATCACATACGTTATGTTCTAAAATACATTTACCATTTGTTAATTAAAAATGGTTGGTGTGAAAGGATCTGTGAACAGCAGGAGCAAATTTAAAGGGCAATAACGAAGGAGATTATTAACGAACACGTTGGAGCCGTGGACATTGTTAACCCTTTGTACAAATCAAAAGTTAATTCGTCCTCGGAACACATTAAGAAGAAGTATAACTGGCGCTTATTTTTATATACCCGGAAATGTAATCACAGAAACAAAGAAAAAAATGCCCTAGATCAGTTAAAAATGATCCTTCAGTATAGTTGGAACAAATTTAACGTAAACCTAGCTGTCAACTTTTCACTACTGGCTTACATGGGAGTAGGTTAGAATTAAAGCTATAAGCAATTAAGTAAAGATATGACATTAAACGGTAAGCTAGTTGGTATTCAGAGCAAGTCGTACTGATAGGTATGAAATTCTTTGCTGGGATTTATAGCATAAGTTATGGTTGGAGGTGGCACGATTTGAATCTATCACCAGTAGTAGAGTTGCACTCATTTCCATCATTCTCTAAATCTTGAGGTCAGTGTCATTTTAAGATTTTCACGCCTCAACCTTATTTAGCTCTTTAGAACCATGTTTCTTATGTTTTGTTTTCCAGTTAACTTTACATTATTTTCTCTTCATCATGTTAATTTACTATCGAGTTAAGCTAACATCGATATACATTCATGAAAGTTTTTATGTCGCCTTTGATTGACTTGCTGACTCACCTTTTAGGGGATTTTTTGGTTCGAATTGCATACCTTACAAAATACTTTTTGCTGTAACTAGAATTTTATACAGCAAAATAAGGGATGTAAAAATGTTAATGAAATAAGTTCAAATAAAATAGAAACGAAAAATGAGAGGGACGGTGTTAGTGCAAGAATAATGGTAATAATTGATGGATAAAACTAGTATTCTTAAATGAAGCTAATTGGGGTAGATGAATTGTTTTTAACTACAGATGAAGGGTTTGAACTTTAGATTAATGCTTATGATAATCTTTTACTCATAAAGTTGCTTTTAGACCGTTTCTGTTGACCGCTTCATTACCATATGCTTTGTTCTTGATAAAGTTGGTTAACTGTTCGTTCATATTATTATCATATTAACATGTTCAAATTTTACTATGTAGGCGGCTCGTAGACTTTTTTGAATTTTATAAGTAGCATCTAGGCCTAATCTGTTTGTTTAGCTAAGATTAGTGCACGATGTCGACGATAATATTTATATTTGTTTTGCAGATGTTTAAGTGCATACTGTCAAGTTACTAGTTGTTGCCTTGACCTGTCAGTCAGGTTTTTGCATGATGAAGACTTGTTTAATTTGTATCCAATAGACCAATTCATGTCATTCTCTGATATCGATCGTATCATCTATATAAAGCCTGGAATTATTCATTATCAAAATCTGTTCGATATACGTTACAGTGATCAATAGAATGGACAAAAATATTGATTGAGGAGAAAGGAATACCATATATATTATATAATCGACTACCTCGGAAATGAATGATGTAAGTTATTAGGAGCATTGTCTGTTGATCGGAAAAAAGGTTTAGAAGCAATTAATAAAGGCGATACAATAAACAAATCAGTCAATGATGCAGAACTACCAATTCAGCAACCTTCAAAATCTTCTTTAGTAACAATTATCATGTGCTTTCTTGTTCTCTCCACAAGACCTGATCGTCTTGAGTTCTATTCTTTGTGGTATCTTGGATGAGCACTGCAGTGGAGCAGTGTACTAGAATGAAACATCTACCCAGTGCTTCCTGATTTTCAATTGTTACCTACCTAAGTTCAGTCTATGATGGGGAACTACGAATATAGAAAACCATTTTCTGAAGATAGGTAAAGCATGACACTGATTATTGATGAATCGGTAGATACCATTGATTGGTTTTAATTTTTTTGATTGGATGAATTGCTGTAAATTCCAGTTTGCTTAAGTTTGAGTCAAATTTTACTAATTTCATGAACTTGATATTAGCTTCGTCATCATGTTGATAGAATTTTGAAGATTCGAACATTTATACTAATTATCAAGCTTGATAAGACTACAGAATTTAATATAGCATATAACTTAACCATCGTTAAGTTGAATAAAATGGGTTCAAATCATATTGAGAGACAAGGAACATTAGGACTAATGAAATTTATTTGATGGAGTTACATTCTCTGAGCTGTCTTGTTTAATCAATAGGCTTTCGTTGTCTATCTATACAATATTATCAGCACAAACTTCAGATACGAGTGAACTGTTTGAGTTTCTCCGTATAAGACCAACAGTTTGTTTCATGAACATTTAATTTTATGGTTTGTTGCGGATATTTTTTACTGTCATTGTCTGAATATTTATTTTGAATGTGTTCTCAACTGACCCGATTCTTGACCTGGTACTTGTTTATAATTTTTCTAATTTGTTGGAAATTTGGACCGACTTCGATATGTTTATTAATCTCTAATTGATCTAATTGTTAAGCTTCTAAACAAATTATGTGATTATCTTTGTAGTCCCTTTTGTTCAAGATTTCAATATTTCCCCTAGGGAACGTACGTCCACAAGTATCTTCAGCCATCAATATAAACGAAGACAAATAGTGTTACATAGCCAATTAACATTTAAGCAAATGAGCATGATACTTTTTACAGATGTATTTCAAGAAGCAAATACCATATTTCATTATTTTATGCAACAGATTCAACCAGTACTGAGAACTTTAACATTGCTTTCATCTTTTTTTCCCTATCGAAATACCAGTACATATCCTTACTATATGATTTAATGTAAATTGTTGTTTGATTACTTCTGACTGAATAAGCTACTCCATCATTGAACTAATAAGTACAAGTAGTTCAATCATTCTTCTATTATAATTTCAGTTTCAATAAATATAAGGTACTAACATAAGCGAATTTATTTGTTTACTAATTGTATTATTCAATCCAATTCATTTTTCATTATAATATATATTTGTTTGGTTCATATCAGTCGGAATTATAAACAGAACTTGAATTTGAATTCATTAGTATAATAGATTGAGTCTCAATTATTGTATGTAATTGAAACAGTTCAGATAAATCATATTAGTTTATTTAATTGATGTAGGATTGTATAACGTTTTAGACTGGATTTACTGTCATTAATCATATCAAAGTAATTATACAGCTTTCAGATTAAGTTTTTGTAACGAATATTAAATCAAATTGGTCGCTACCACCTATATTGTAATGAATAAAATATTTATTATTCAATATATATACTGATAAAATACACTTTTAATTTGTGTGAACTGTCAAGTAAACATCTCTTTCAATATTTAAAACAAAAGAAATAACAGATCGATAGACCCCTTACCTATGAGGTTCTGTAAAACAAACTTTTTGTTAAAACTTATCAAGGTTAGAGTAAATATTGGTTTTACGGTCTTTATAACCCAAATGGTAAAATCTATTCCTTCATATTTATTCTGAGAACCAATCAACATCAAGGTGTACATGACAAGCTATGAACAACATGTGGAGAAACTCAAACACTTCACTTCTATTTGAAGTTTGTGCTGATGATGTCGTTCAGAAGAAAGATGAAATCTCCACGACCAAACCATTCAGCTCAGAGGACAAAACTCCATCAAAATCATTCAATTGAATTACAAATCTTCATCTCAAGATGATTTATCCAAATTTTGATAAAATATAATTGATGAATAAATTATCGAAATAAATATTAAGATGTGTTGTTTGAATCGACAACTTGGAAGACGTATGTAATATGTTTTTCTCAATAATACAGTCAGTCAGTAACAACGTAGAACTTTGTACGTACGTACATGAGTTCGAGTTGCCATACCAAGTTGGTCACATTATCAGTAATACAAAGACATTTAAATTAGTTATGTACGGTATGAACAAGAATTTCAACGTCATTATCATCGAAAACAACAATATACAACGTCCTAACAAAAACTTTGTTGAGAACGTTAAAATTAACTGCTGAAATCAGTTATTCGTTAAGCCAATGTATTTGGGTGAGCAAGAAGATATACCAAGGCGGTATCGAAATATGCATATTATTTAAAATGTAGCGCCAATTACATGGGAGACCTCTTGCTCTGGATATTAACATAGGCCACATTTTAATTAGATTTAAAGATCAGTGTTAGGTGTCATTGTTCTATTAACGCTCTAGTTGTGATAACTCAAAACTAAAGAGTATAAATATGACTAATCTGGACTTATTTTCAAAATGGATTGCCTATAACTTTTTCAAATCACCAATACAAAATCAATTAAAGTATATATCAACTAATATTCATATCTTAAGCTTTTGAAACATTGATGGGCGACGTTAGTTATTGTAGAATTGAAATGGAGAAAAATTAAGAGTGACCGAACCAAAACGCGGTATCAGTCCAAGAAGTCATTTACTGTAGGTTTGAGCAGCACAAATACATGCCAACTACCTGGTTGAGTCTCGCATGATAACCGCTACTAGGGATCAGAGACTGGGTGACCGAACTCAGAATGGGCCAGATTCATTTGTAGAGAAAGTAAACCAACTTATTGTTTTACACAAAATTGCAGAGTTCTTTCATAAAATATAAAAACCATACATTAAATACTTTATTTACAAAAATTATAAATTGTCCCCTACATCCTTTATGATTCTTGCAATTCTCAGTTCCTTCGTGTTTCTTCTGTTTTTTTAGTTCAGTCTTCTCAACCTTTTGTTGCCAGGCATCCCATTTATGATCGGAGTTACACACTACTTATGTCTGTCGACACCACATATTATTTGTCTTCTTCTTTATCTTAAGTTGCCGTAGTCCTTCATGTATACCTTTTCACTTTATCTTTACGAATTGTATTTTCAATGTTTAGTATCTCTCA